AATCCTCATAATTGAAATGAGCTAAGCAAGCTTTTAGAGGATCCTCCATTAAAGGAGGTGCATCAAGCAAAGGATTATGTAGGGGCTGTTTTGGAGTAGGGTAGACAATCTCTACATCATTATTTTTCCCATTTTGAGCCACAATTGCTTCATTTTGATGTGGGGCAACAATTTGATCTTCAACCACCATTTCATCATTTTCACATGTAATAACCACTTGATCATTCTCATGATGAAAGTTACTAGGAGTAATCTCATCATTCATAGAATTTTCTTTTGGATTGGCCATAAATTCAAATGAAAATGTTTCCTCCTCTTCATGATTTTTAGCATTAATCCTTTGTTGAATTTGAGATATTTGGTCATCTATCATTGCACTAACTTGGGACTGGTGATATGGTACCACTTGATTGATAGACTCTACTGTGGACTGCATGCTAGCAAGGGAAGCCAATAGTTGATTGTTGGAGTCCATCATTTGCGTGTGCATAGACTCCATCATTTGTTTGTTAGCAACAATTAGCTCATCCAATGGAGACGGTGGAAAAGGAGAAGAGGGTTGGAAATAATGATCATTGGGTTGAAAATTGGCTTGAAAATGTTGCCCATGAGATTGTGGGGCTGAATTTTCCATGTCATGCCACAAGAAATTTTGGTGATCTCCCCTACCCGAGTCATAACCATTGAAGTATGGATCACTACACGGTTCAGAGAAATTCTCATTTGGTTGCTCTAGATAAAAGTCCGAGAATTGTCTCGTTAGAAGACATTCTCTTGTATGATGTGTATGACTAGAGCAAAGGCACAAAACTCATGTGGTGTGTAAAATTGAGTTGAAGGAAAATTACTCCCCATTAAGGACTAATTCAGCCACTTGATTAGATACATTAAGGTGAATTCACACAAAATATATACAACACAATTAAACTACATAGCAACCCTTCACCAAAACATCCAAATGCAATGATCCCTTTCTCCTCAATTATCAAGACAAAAATGTAAATGGCCACGACAAGGACCGATGCTTGAACACGAAATATAAACAAGATAAGAGCCTCGACAAGGGCTTCACAACTAAATTAAACACATACACAATATTCACAATGCGAAACTAGAAGTCAAGAGACTTACCTGGGGTCCTCTAGACTTACAATTTGCTAGCAATCCCACGGCGAGCTTCGAGTCCCTAGAATCTTACAACACGAAGATGATCAAAACATACAAGGAATATTCACAAGACACAATATTAATAATCAAACTAAAATTAACCCTAGAACCTTGGTCGCTAAACAGTATGCAAGTCCCCGGCAACGGCGCCAAAAATTGATCGGTTGGTCAATTAAACATCAACCTTCGCAATAGCACGAATCATTGTAAAATAGGGCTATTGGTCGGGTAAGTCGAACCACTGGAACTGTGCTAGTTTAAGGCAACCTAAGCGTCTAGAATCGTTTTAGAATGATAAGGGGGAATAGGGTGTTTGCTTGGTTTGTCACTAAAGCTATGAAATTAAGATGCATAAAATAGAACTTGCAAGAATTTAAAAGAGATAAAATGTCGGTAAAAAAGACTAGAGAAGTAACTTCACCACCTACAATATAAACATGCTAGAATATGATTCATTCGGGGAAAAACAACATAAATATGTGGTTATGATAAGTAGTTACTCATGGTTACTACATTACCTTCAAAGGATTCATGGAATCAATAGGCAAGAACAATTTATCAAAGATTTTACATGCTCAATTACCTAAACTAAAGTGTAATTTAAGACATGTTCACTAAGCTAGAAATTGTCAAACCATCAATCACATGATAAGAGCACATGAAGCTAAGAATTAAGAATAAGCCATCAAAGGAATAACCTAAGCTATGGCCTATCAAATCTCTCAACAACATGCCATTAAAACCATTCCAAAAATCTCATCTTCATTGTCACCATGAAAATGTAAACCATACAACCATGAAAACATACATTCTAAGACAAGAAAGTAGGTCCAACATGATCATTAAATCAAAATCAATTCATTACATCAAGTAAGAGTTCTAGATTATGGAATCACCACAAAAATACATTATTTTTCCCAAACTAGAATCAAAAGTAAAGCATGCTTACAATGAGGGGTTCCATTACCTCCCTAGAGGAAGAGTTAGTTACACATGGGAGCCTTAGAATGAAGAAGAACCATGGATCCTCCTTCCATTTTCGAGCTCCCCTTTCTTGCTCCAAGAACTCTCCTTCCTTTGCTCTATCCTCCTCCCCTTTCTTCTCAAAATGAAGCTTAAGAGATAATGAGTGGCTTTGCTTCCCTTATCTAGATCACTTATCCACCCCAAAAGCTACCAACCAACATCTCCAACCACTTCATAAAGGAGGCAATCCAAAAGGGCTAAAATCTGAGCACAAGTGGGTTGAGTCGTGTAGAATTCTGCCCTAATTTCGAGTGCTCGAAATAGGGCCTCGAGCACTCGAAAATTGGGCAGAATGCCCTATGCTTGGTTTGCTCCGCCCGGACCTACTTTGGTAAAACGGCCATAACTTTGTGCTCCGAACTCCGAATGACAAACCGTTTGAAGATTTGGAAAGCTAATTCAGAGCTCTAAAAACTTTATGTTTTGGTGGAGATCCAATTCTCAGGTCTGGTTGGTCGAAGTTGAAGAACAAGGCAGACTTTCATTGCTGCCAGGCAGTTCTGAGCACCTCTAATAAGAAGATCATAACTCTCTGCTCCGAACTCTGAATGACGAACCGCTTGAAGATTTGGAAAGCTGATTCAGAGCTCTAAATCTTTCTTATGATGGAAGTCCAGTTCTCGAGTTTGGTAGGTCAAAAATGGTGAGCAAATCTGGATTTCACTGCTGTCAGAATTCAGCATTGCACCTTCCTATGTTCAAAACTCCACAAAGCATCATTTTTGCTTCCTTTTTGCAATTTAACATGAAAATGTGCAAAAACATACAATTGGAGATAATCTATATAAAATACACAAATAAATAACTTAACTAATGTAATTTAGGGTGCTTGAATATACAATATTCGGTGCTTATCAATCTTGAACCGGATCTCGACACAACAGGTTTAAGTGAACCTGGATCGGGATAGCCTTGCGCCTGCAATCAAACACTACCCTTCTTAATGAACGCCGGCGAGAGCCATAATTTGCTACCGTCAACATCGAGCAAGGATCCTCACCTCCACAAGGCGAAACCCCAACCACAAATCTCGACTGCAGCAAGGAACCACACTCAGTTTCAGCGGCGACTACTCACGACAACCACCGACGTCAGCAAACGGAGAACAGCGAACAGTGAAGACGTCCAAGAGAGGCCGGATCAACGGCGAAAAGTGATCCCTTCACGAGCTAGTACACACCCTAGCATCGCAGTAGCAACGTCAATAGCCGGATCTACGCTCTGATACCATGTTGTTTTTATAGATTATAGAGAGAGAGATAGTAGAGTGAGAGAGTAGGTGGTTGAGAGAGAGAGAGCTCTGATAAGAGAGGCGCAGCCCCTTTACTTCATGTTATAAAACCCTTACACATAACACAATATATATACAATACAAGAAAGGCCTATTTACATAATGGCCACAAACCCTATGTCTAATTACAATATGACCCCAACATAAATACCTATTTACATATAACTGTTCTAACAATACTAATTCACTATGTGGGGTGGTGGCATAAAAAAAATGGAGGTTGATATAAATTTTGACATTACTTTGCACAAAGTGGATGCTTTTACTTGAACCATAACATCCTTATTTATGTATCGATCATATTTTCTCAATTTTTCCTTTTTTATGAATTTATTCTCTTATAATGTTTATTTTCAAGAACAAAGAGGCCTAAGTTTCTCCTTGTTTATCATTCTCTAAGATATTTTTCCCTCTCTCTCTCTCCATATAAGTAGAAGTTTCCTTAAAGGTGCCTAACGAGGTGTAAACCATGAACATGTTATGTATATACAGAACAAACACCATACAACTATGTAGGTACAATTGTTTGGTATCAGATGACTCGCTTGATATTTAGATTAAATTGTAATTAATCTCACATTACACTATATAAGGTGATTCATTTCAGATGCAACACATTGTTGTCAGGGGCTTATTTGTTATTACTTATATAATGTTGGGGCTTATGTGTAATTTATGAAACCTATTATTATAAATATAATGTGGTGGAAGGATGAAAGTATTCTTTCATTCTTTCTCTCTTTCCCCATCTCTCTCTCTTTTTTTCTCATCCTCTTTCTTCTCTTTTTCTTCTTCTTATACTTTACTCTTGATTTTGATTATATCTTAAAGTCAACACACATGCCCTGACCTGAAACTTGAGAGTTGTTGTGCTAGCGGACGGATTTGGGTTGGGGTTCCCCAATCCCAAAGACCTATAGAGGAAGAATAGATCTACTTGTTTATTTTGATTGGTTTTAACTTATTTAATTTCTTCAATTAATTTTGTAATATCATTCAATCATGAAAATTAAGAATGCAAAAACACAAATTCAAAGCAAGTAAAAGGGATAGAAGACACCAAATTACTGACGAGGGTGACTGAGTAGAATCACATTTATAAAAGAATCATGTTGGGTTTTTTTTTAAATTTTTTTTTTTAAGAATTCTTATGTTTGCTTCTTTTCCTCTTTCTTTTTTCTGGTTTATGTACAGCTCTTGGGACGCGTTCGCTTTCTAATACATTTTACTTATCAAAAAAAAAAAAAAAAAAAAAAAAAAAAAAAAAAAAAAAAAAAAATTCTTATGTTTGCTGTCCTTGTATTAGGAAGGATAAAACTATTTCATTAGTATTAATATTGATTGGACTGTACAAGTCTATATGTCAATTAATATAAAGTATTGGTTTCATCTAAATGTGTTAGGGATGATTATAATCTATTGTTTGCTTGGTGATCCTAAAACACTGCTTTCCAGACTTAATTTTTTAATATGTATGATGAATAGGGAAGTGACTATTCCAATTTTTCATATGCAGGCCAGCCAAAGAGGCATCTTCTTACAACTGGATGGAGTGTGTTTGTAAGTGCAAAAAGACTCGTTGCTGGTGATTCTGTCATTTTTATCTGGTAGGCACATTTAGTTCCATCTCCATATGAGTATATATGTTTATGTTTGTCATTGGTGTTTCTGTAATTGGTACAAACTTTTACTCAAAGGTGGGAGTAGTCTATCTTTGCCTTTCTTTGCACACTTGAGGTATACTTGAAATCCAGGGATGGCTTTTAAAATGGTCTGTGTTGTTCAATCAACGTCTATGATAATGAGTAAAAGGATATGTCTTAAGAGTCTGAGAAGGTTGGGATTAGTTCTTACATGATTAACACCATCTGATGAGACTTGTTTCAAGATTGGGAATTTTCCTTGAATGGGTAGTACCATATATTTACTGCAGTCAATGGCGCAGCTTCTTCCCTTCTCCCATCTAAAATTTATTTAAATTTTAAAAGTTTTATTGGGAGCAATTTTATTATTTTTATATAAGTATATTTTATCGCATCAGGAATGAAAACAATCAGTTGTTTCTGGGGATTCGACGTGCAAATCGTCTGCAAACTATCATGCCTTCATCAGTTTTATCAAGTGATAGCATGCACATAGGGCTTCTTGCTGCAGCAGCTCATGCAGCTGCCACAAATAGCCGCTTCACCATATTTTATAATCCAAGGTTCAGTTTCTTCTAGTTCTACAGATATTAAATATTACAATAATCATGAATAGCATTAAACATCTTATTTATTACCTTGATTCAGGGCCAGTCCATCAGAATTTGTCATACCTCTCGCGAAGTACGCAAAAGCAGTTTATCACACTCGTGTTTCTGTGGGCATGCGCTTCCGGATGTTGTTCGAGACAGAAGAGTCAAGTGTTCGTCGGTAGGTCCTACCTTTCTATGTATGTATTTTTTCACACATTAACTCAAATTGATCTTCAAATAGACAATTCCGTGATTAATGCAATCATAGTAAGCAAAGAGGAAGCTCACGGAAGCCGTGCAACAGTTAATATTGTTGTTTACTGGCCAAAATTTTAAGGTCAGGAATTCATACGTTGATCCATGCCATAGCCAACATCTGTCTCAGAAGCTACCAACAAGTTCTATCACGATTATCATCAGGACTCCAGTAAATATCTGTAATTGTAGGATATGCTTCAACCCTGTTCTTTTGTGCCTATAGCTATCCAGCATGCTTTATGTTGTAAACCACATCATTTTGTTTCCTGCCTTTTGAGGAACAGCTGCATATTTTTTTTAGTCTATTAGGACGATAGGAAACTGCATTCCATCCAGAGCTGGGTTATTAGTTATTACCATGGTATTTATATGCGGTATCAGTTGCAATAGCAGTTGAGGTGTAATGGTTTCCTAATGGGAATCAGTTAGCCAAATGGTGATTTTTATCTATTGCTAGCGTGCCACTAGAAATTAATGAATATGTATGTTTCCAATAACATTTATTGCTTACTACTGAAACCCCTGTCCAATAACATTTATTGTTTACTACTGAAACCCCCAAAGACTTGATTTGTTTTAGGTATTGAGTTTTACATTTGTCCTTGAGTTGATGTCAGTTGGAAAGATTTATCTATTTTTAATAATTTTCTACTTTTCATGACAAAGTAAAAATTGAGAAGTCATATAATGTACCCAATGTAGTAATATCAGTTGATTGTGCTATTGAATATACTGTTTTAATTTGCTGTTCTTCCTCTTACAGTGAAATGCCTCTTTAGCTCCTCCATTTGACGGTGTGGCTGGAGCTTTGATCTTTCTAGTCTTATTTGTAGAGGTCAAATCCAGTGTGAAAATAGGGATTTTTAAGTTCAAGATATGGAATGAGTGAAAAATACAAGAAAATAAAAAGTAATAGTGTAATTTGAGGTATTTGATAGATTTGAGTGCTGTTTGGGTGACAAGGGGTCCTATCTTTCTGTAGACTGACATGGCCATGGTTATCACATTAATCATTATTTCTGCACATAGCAGCAACTTCTCGATCCTATAATGTCATTGAAAAACTTTATGTATCAGTATTGTTCAATTGTTAAGATGATGGTTATCATGCTCCAAATTATTAGTAGGTGTTCTTTCCCCATTTCATCAAATTCCTATTTGCTTTTCCCATTGTGAACTACTGTTACACCTTTTGGACTATAAATATTAATTAATATGTTATTATCAAATTTGGGTCGTGGCAGCTAGCAAAAACCAACTCTAACAAATAGTGCAATTCTTGAGAGAGAGAATTTTCTTTAGGAGAAAGTTTGTCGTGGCAGAGATGCGGCCGGAGTCTACTGCTCCGACCAGTCACCGGAGTCATTAACTCCGGTGAAATCCTCTGTCATTTTTCTTTTTGATTCCCCTTTCTCTGTTGGCTCTATGTGTTCGGTTATTGTTGTGTGGATCTGCTAATGAAAGTGCTGGAGAGTCAGAAGCAGTCTTATTTGGAGGTTGCTCGTTTACCTCGTCTGGATCTAAAAGGAGAGGTGGAACGGATTCCTTCCTCAAGGGATCATGTGTTTAGAGTGGACACTCGCAGTACTTCCTCTCGAGAACGTGTTCTTAGGGCTTGTCTGGTTGGGAGATTCGACAAAGAGGTGGGGTCTTTGGAGAACATTGAAGATTGGGCTACGAAGACTTGGTTGATTACGGGAGGAGTTAGGGTTAATTCTTTGCCGGACGGACTTCTGTTGTTCCGGTTCCCGTCGGTGTTGGACGCCCATAAGGTTCTGGATTGGGGCAAGAAATCTTGGGATGAGGCTCAACTTCTTATTGATCCTTGGTACTATAGGGTTGGGTGTTCCGGTTTGAGATTGAGGCACAATTTCCGGCGAGTGATTCTGTATGGTCTGCCGCTGCACCTTTGGTGTCAGAAGCTCTTCGTCGCCATTGGTGACGCATGTGGCGGGTTTAGAGATGTGGAGGCTTTCGAAATGAGTGATACGGTAAGAATTGTGATCACTGTGGCTGGGGGTGGTGTGATTCCGGCGAGTGTGGTTGTGGAGGATGGAAGATGGGCGTTCAGAATTTCGCTATCTGAAGAGATTGATCCGACAATGGTTCCGCTGATTGGGACATGTTCCGGAAAAGGCGATTCGGGCTCACCGGAGGTGTTGGCCTGCATCTCTCGTTCGGTTTACAGTCATGGAGGTGGGGATGGATCTAAGCCGGATTTCCAACAGATGGAGGTGCAGAGTAACCGGATCCAAGGTCAGGGACGTGTGAACAGCCACGCGCCTAAGGCAAGTGGAAAGGGGAAGGCTTCGTCTGGGACACGTGGTTGGAGGAGAAAGGATAACCGTTATGAGTGGAAGACAGCTACCCTTCCTCGTGCTGAGTCACGTGCTTCTCTTGATTTTTTAAACTGAACTTCTTTTGGGCAGGATGGTGTTGGGCCTAGATTACGTGGGACTCATGCAGCGGGATCAAAAGTCACTGGGAAGGATTCTAATGCGTGGGGTGGACCTGGGTCATCCATTGGGCCAAGGCGGTTCATTAAGTCTGTTCAAGGGGATGGCCGATCTAAGCAATCTGGGCCTCTCTTTTCCTCTGGACCGATTCAGGTGAAGACAAGAGTGGATAAAGGAAGGTTAGTTAAATGGGGCCCAAACAACCATCTCTCAATTTCCTTCCACAGTGGGCAGCCCATCACATCTTTAGAAGCAGATCAAAGCCATGGCATTCCAGAACCTGACTTGGTTACGTCACAGAGAGTTTCGACCTCACGTGTTTGGTCGAGGAAGGAGAAGGAGAATTGGGTGAAGGTGAGTTCGAAGGTGTCAAAAGGGGCTGGGGCTAGTTCAAAGAACTTCCGGCATGGGTCGTGCTGTCATAATCGACTCTTGGGTAACAGATTTGAGATTCTTCAATCTGGATTTTTGGGAGATGACGAGAAAGGCGAATGTGTCTCCATTAAGAAGGATGTTACATCTCGGAGTTTGCCGATAATTCCCAGTAAGAAATGGACTAGGAAGGACAAACAGAAATGGGTGGCCCGTAAGGTTTCTCATTCGTGCCCAGGTATGTCGAGTTCCTTTCATGCTCGGAAATCTGCATCTTCTTCTATTTCTGCTTCTACTCCCTCTTGCGAGTTGAATAGTAAAGGGGGTAAGATTGTTGATGGGAGGCATCATTTGCTTTCACCTGTTGTTGAGGCTGACTTGGTGGAAGGGTTGATCTCTACGGTTGGCTCGGAGTTTGGGATTGTTGGGCTGTCAGAAAGGGATGGGACGGTTTGCTTGTCTGGTGACTGGGATGTGGATCGACACTCTGTAGGGATCGCTGAGACTTGTTCGGAATTTTCCTCAACCTCTTGGTATGATTCTTCAGGGGAGGAGATGGGCAGGTCGGCTAAGCTTCGTTTGGGTGGATTGGTAGGGGTGTGTTCTTCTTTTAAGGGTGATCCAGTGGCTTGTCTGAAGGATCCTGTGCCTGATGTGGTGACTGTTTGTGTGGGTAAAGATATCCGCATTTCCCTTAGCGAGGAATCAGCTTCTTTTTTGGTGAAGGAGTTGCAGAAGCACAGATTTTCGATCGATGACCATACTGTAGATTGTAACCCGGTCCCGGTCCCAGTCACACAGAATGATGTGTTGGATTATAGAGAGGACTGGATATCATCTGTTGATGAAGCTGTGGAGGCCAAGGGAGGTATGGCAGATGGGAGCAGAATGGATCAGGGGAGTTCTCTGGATATGATTTTGTGGGAGGAGGAGGGTTTTGCTAATTTGGGGGTGGTGGACCCTTTGGCTGTAGTTCATCCAGAGGAGATGGGCAGCAAGGTGTGTAGGCAGGAAGGTGAGGACACTGGATTGGATTGGGTCAAGGCTAACATTGGGGCTACTTGATCTACTGGGTGTCTCATGCAAAGGAAAGCGGGATCAAGCCTTAGCAATCCTTCAGGCCACGGCAGAGGGGAGAGAAGGAGAGATGATTCAATTTTCCAGAAGGAGGAGTAGGAAGAAGAACCTGACGCCGGGAAAAGGGGAAAGGGAGCTAAGAAATCTGTGCTGTGATGTGAATTATGATAGGGTGAGTGGGGGGGAGAAGGAGAGGGGTAATGCTAAGGGAGGAGGGAGGGGTAGGGGGGTGTAGGGGATGATTGTTTCCTCATGAAGTTTCGAATTTTATCGTGGAATGTCCGCTGTCTAAACGATCCAGGCAAGCGCATAGTGATGAAGATGGCAGTGAGGAAATGGGGGGGTGCACTTGGTGTGTCTTCAAGAAACAAAGATTGATTCTCTGTCTAATCGTGTGGTGAAAAGTCTGTGGGGCAACCGCTTTGTTGAATGGGAGGCGTTGGATGCTGTTGGGACTTCAGGAGGTGTTCTTATTATGCGGGATAGGAGATGGCTGACTAAAGTTTATGTTTGCAGAGGGAGATTTTCTTTATCTTGTGCTTTTGTGATGGAGGAGGATGGCTTCACTTGGGGTTTTTCTTGGGTGTATGGGCCGGTTGATGATGTTGTGAGGGATAGTTTGTGGGAGGAGTTGAGTGGGGTGAATGGGAGGTGATCTCTTCCTTGGTGCGTGGCAGGAGACTTTATGTGGTTAGATCCCCGGCGGAGAGGTCTACAGTTGGCCCGTAGACTCAAGCTATGATGCACTTTTCTGATTTTATTGATGGCCACCAGCTTATTGATCTCCCTCTTGAGGGAGCTTCCTTCACTTGGTCCAGTGGAAGGGAAGTTCCAACTTTCTCTCGCATTGATAGATTTTTGATTTCAGGTGAATGGGAGGAGAAATTCCCGGATGTTGTTCAGGCAGTTTTGGCTAGGGTGACGTCGGATCACATTCCCTTGGTTTTGGACTGTGGAGGTTTGAGATCTCGCAGTACTCCTTTCAGATTTGAGAACATGTGGCTTCGTGCGGATAACTTCTAGGAATTTGTCCATTCTTGGTGGGAGGAGAATCTGGTGGTGGGTACATCGAGCCATATTCTTGCCGGAAAGCTTCGAATCCTGAAAACAAATCTTAAAAGGTGGAATAAGGAGGTGTTTGGGAGCTTGGTGTGGAGGAAGAACAGGGCTTTGGCTGATATTGCGGAGATTGATCGATTGGAAGGGGAGGGTGCTATTACGGAATCTCAACGTAGTAGAAGAGCAGCTTGCCAGGCAGAATGTGTGGAGATTGCTCTTTTGGAGGAAATCTCATGGCGTCAGAAATCTCGGGCATTATGGCTCAAAGAGGGGGATCGTAATACGAAGTTTTTTCACAGAACTGCTAATGCTAATAGGAGGAGTAATCATATTGGGCGGATGTGTGTGGATGGTGCAGTTTTGTCTTCGGAGGAGGAGGTGCGAAGTGCTATTGTCTCTTTCTATCAAAGACTTTATTCTGAGCCTCTTCGTTGGAGACCTCGTCTAGATGGTCTTCATTTCGATTCTATTTCTGCCTTGGAGAGAGATGGGCTGGAAAATCCTTTTTCGGAGGAGGAAGTGTTGAAGGCTTTAAAGAGTTGCAATGGTGATAAGGCTCTAGGTCCTGATGGTTTCACGATGAGATTTTTGTTGGAAAGCTGGGAGGTGGTCCGGTACGAGATTATGTGCACTTTTCATGAGTTCCATTCCACGGGGCGATTTGAGAAATCGCTTAACGCATCTTTTATTGCCCTTATTCCACAAAAGGGTGGTGCTTCTAATATCAAGGATTTTAGACCCATTAGTCTGATCGGGTGCATTTACAAGATCATTGCAAAAGTCCTTGCCTTTAGATTAAGGGAGGTCCTGGATGAAGTTATCTCTGAGTCTCAGAATGCTTTCGTTGGGGGTAGACAGATTTTGGATTCCGCCCTTATTGCTAGCGAATGTATGGATTCTAGACTTCGTAGTGGGACTCCTGGTGTTCTGTGCAAGCTGGATATTGAGAAAGCCTATGATCATGTTTGTTGGAATTTCCTGTTCAATCTGTTGGAGAGGATGGGTTTTGGTGAGAGATGGAGGAAGTGGATTGTTTCTTGTGTTTCCACTGTCAGGTTTTCGGTGTTGGTGAATGGCTCTCCTTCGGGGTTCTTTGGCTGTTCTTGTGGGTTGAGACAGCGGGATCCTCTCTCCCTTTTTCTTTTTATTATTGTTATGGAGGCCCTTAGCAAGCTGATGAGAAGGGCGGTGGATTTGGGTTTTCTTAGGGGTTTCAAGATTGGCCCTGAATCAGTTCAACAGTTGGAGATCTCTCATTTACTTTTTGCGGATGACACTATTGTTTTTTGTGAGGCTGATGTATCCCAGTTGAGGTATCTGAGATGTGTTTTGGTTTGTTTCCAGGCTGTTTCTGGTTTGAAAGTTAACTTGGGAAAGAGTGTGATTGTTCCTGTGGGGGAGGTTCAGGAGGTGGACACTCTGGTTGCTGTTCTAGGGTGTGGGACGCAACACTTTCCCATCTCGTACTTGGATTTGCCGCTGGGGGACTCGGCTAGGAGGGTGGGAAGTTGGAACCCGGTGATTGAGCGGGTCGAGAGAAGATTAGCGGGTTGGAAAAAACAATATCTGTCAAAGGGCGGTAAAGTTACGTTAGTGAAGAGCACTTTGTCAAGCCTTCCAACGTATTTTCTTTCGCTTTTTCGTATTCCAGCCTCTATTGTTGGAAGACTAGAAATGCTCCAACGGAATTTCCTTTGGGGGGGTCGCGGAGAAGAGTTCAAGTATTATCTTATCAAATGGGAACAGGTTTGCAGGCCTATTCGGTTGGGAGGGCTTGGAATAAGGAGATTGGCCCCTTTCAATTGTGCTCTTCTTGGTAAGTGGCTTTGGAGATTTGGTAAGGAAAGACACAGATTATGGAGAAGGGTTATCTCATGTCGCTTTGGGGAGGAGAGAGGAGGGTGGTCAGTTAGACCAATCAGGTCTGTTAGCGGAGTGGGGGTGTGGAGGGCCATTGGTAAGGGGTGGGATGCCTTTTCCAAACATATTAGATTCAGAGTTTGGGATGGAAGAATTGTCCGGTTTTGGGAGGATCCATGGTGTAATGATAGGCCTTTGGCCCTTTTGTTTCCCAGGCTTTTCAGGATTGCTGTTGACAAACATGCTATGGTTGCTGACTACTATCGCCTTGGTAGTGGAAGGTTGTCTTGGGATGTGCGTTTCCGGCGAGTTTTTCAGGATTGGGAGCTGGATGATGTCACTGGGTATTTGGCTCTCCTTTACGGACAGGAGGTGGAGGGGTCTGGGGCAGATTCCTTGATTTGGGTGCCTTCTTCTCAGGGGATGTTCCAGGTCCGGTCCTTTTTTGTGTGCCTTTCTGGTTTTTATGGTACCTCATTCCCATGGAAGACGGTATGGAGGTCTAAGGCGCCTCTTAGGGTGGCCTTTTTTGTGTGGACTGCAGCTTGGAGTAAGATTTTGACTTTGGACAATTTGAGGAAGCGAAGGCATATCATTGTTAATAGGTGTTGTCTTTGCAAGATTAATGGGGAGTCGGTGGATCATCTTTTGTTGCACTGTCCTGTGGCTCATGATTGTTGGAGTTTGATGTTTGGCCTGTTTGGTATTTATTGGGTCATGCCTCGGTCATCTCGGGAGTTGTTAGATTTGTGGAGGGGCCAATGGGTGGGGGCTCAGGCCAGAGTTTTTTGGAGGGTGACCCCTTTTTGTATTTGGTGTAGCCTTTGGAGAGAGCGTAATGGAAGATCTTTTGAGGGAAAGGAATCCTCCATTGGGGTGTTAAAATTTTCTATCATTTGTAATTTGTTTTGTTAGGGTCAGGGGAGAGACTACTCCTCTCTTGAGGATATTGTTGATTTTATGAGCTCTTTGAGTTCATAGGCTCCGTTTTGTCTTTGTATAGTTTGGGATGCGCTCCCCTTTTGAACGCTTTTAATACAATTTACTTATCAAAAAAAAAAAAAAAAAATTATCAAATTTAAAAAAAAAATTATCAAATTTGTAAATATTTTAATCAAATATATCTAATGTCGTGTTTCCTTCTTTTCCTTCTTATTCTCCTTTTTGTCACATATATCTTTCTTAAATACTCCCAATCCCTTCACCTACCCTCGAACAAATGAAAGGTTTAACTGGTAGCTGCTTTATACTAGCACAAATATGATTTTTTACTTGTGCAAGTATGACTTCATGCAGGTACATGGGAACGATAACTGGCATTAGTGATTTAGATCTGGTTCGCTGGTCAAGCTCACATTGGCGCTCAGTGAAGGTTTGTTTATAATTTAGAGCTTTCGATAATAATGAGCTTTCTAATGTGTTTCAACTGCTTGGAATCATATTAATTGTAAACTCGTATTTGTGGTGATAATTGAAATTTCTCCCAGCTCTAATATATGAACCTGAAGCATTGCATCATGAGTTTTTTTCTCTATGGATGTAGGTTGGCTGGGATGAATCCACCACAGGGGAGAGGCAGCCTAGAGTTTCCTTGTGGGAAATCGAGCCATTGACAACTTTCCCGATGTACCCATCCCCATTTCCGCTCAGAGGACTGAAGCGGCCATTGCCTTCTGGATTACCATCCTTCCCTGGTATGCTTGTTTAGACTATTGATGCCGAGATATTCACTATATTCTAAAATTTTGTCAAATTCAAATTCTATTTGTTCCTTCCTTGTATACTACAAATTTTCAGGTCTCAATGGTGGTGATGTGAGCATTAATTCTCCACTTCTGTGGCTCCAAGGTGATGTTGGAGACCACAAGATTCAGTCATTAAATTTCCAGGGATTTGGGGTAACACCCTGGATGCGACCAAGGCTTGATGCTTCCATGCTTGGTCTACAACCTGATATATACCAAGCAATGGCATCTGCCACGCTTCAGGAGACCAAGATTGTCGATCCTTCCAAAGATGGAAATCTATCCCTTCTGCATTTTCAGCAACCCCAAAATATTCCTGGTGGGGCTTCGTCTCTAATTAAGAGTCAGATGTCTCAGCAGTCTCAGTTTCAAAATATCTTTCTCCAGAGTGTTCCAGAAAATCACGCTCCATATCAGGCTGAAGGTCTGGCTCAGTTTCTGCAGCAACATTTGCATGATAGCCACCAATATGATGACCAACAGCAGCAAAAACAGCATCAACAACAGCAGCATCAAAAACTTCAGCAGCCCCAACTTCATCTACAATTTACTGATCATCAACAAAATCCAAAAGCCAGATCTTTGTCTCAGATTGGGTCAGCTACTCAGTCCCAGTATTCATCTCTCCAGACAATCTCTCCGATATGCCAGCAGCAAACCTTTCCTGATGCCGTTGGGAGTACTGTAACCACATCTATTATCTTTCCCACACAGAGTCTCTTATGTTCGATCTCCCCAGAAGAAACGTCCCACATATCCCACCTATCCCACCTACTTAATGTGCAGGGATCTTACAGTCCAGTCTCTTCTTTTTCCTCATTACCCAAACAAGTTGCAGTGGAACCTCAGGTTCCTTCTGCAGTTGCTCAATTTGTACTACCCCAGGAGGAAGAATTAGTGACCCCCCACTCAAAGATCTCTGAGCTCTCTTCTTTTTTGTCAGCATGTCCTCCTAAAGAGTATCCTGACTATCGAAGTGTAACCGATCCCCAAAGCAATTTCTTGTCTGGGACTAACATGGACTCATCTCTTATACAGAATGGGATGCCAAACCTAGGAAATAGTGGCAGCGAGAATGAATCTTTGTCTATGCCATTTGCAACATCTAATTTTTCGAGTGCTATGGGAACCGACTTTCCACTTAATTCAGACATGACAACATCAAGTTGCATAGATAAATCATGTTTCTTGCAGTCCTCTGAAAATGTGGAGCAAGTGAATGGACCAACTGAAACCTTTGTGAAGGTGAATAAGATCATCATTATTTATGGCAAGCACCATTTTCTCAATTTATTCTCCAAATAATTACAGCAACAATTTGTCCAGCCCTCTTTTGTGGTGACAAGCGCCAAAAAAGATTTGGATTTTCTGAAACAGTTCATATGGTCATATATTTGGGCACAACCCAGTGTGGTCTCCATTTGTTGAGGGTTCTGGAAGGGGTAGACTATATAGTGGGTACAAACTAAATTTGGCATTATTTGCATATAATGGTTGCCTGTTGCCATTAAAGTGGAACCAGCATTCTCATGCTTCGTAGCATGAGCTTCTGTCACTGCACTTAGCTATGGCCCCTATGCATTCGTGTGTATGTGTATATATATATGCATACATATCTTTGTACAAAATTTTGGCACTGTTTTTCTGTTCTGGATTGTTGCCCTTATATTCCAGAAGTTGATCAAATTGGCTGCCTATATTATTTGGTTGGTTCTAGCTTGGAAGGCTTTTCAGAGTGGAGAAACATTCTAGATAAGAGTGTATGTTCACCTCAATATCCAAGTGGATGCCCCTTTTAGTCAGATGATGAGTGGTTGAACCTACAGTAAATCCACCTTTCTTTCTCTAATTGTTTATGCTCTAAATCAGTTACTATACCCTTCTCTTAATGCTTTACAATAAGTGGTTATTTTGGTTGGCCCAACTTATGTTTGGCCTTTTCTTCTTCTGATATTTTTTCATTATTTATGTGGCTATACGGTTCTCTAATGCAGAATTATATGTTACTGCTACTCATTTGTGCTGGTTGATTAAAATGGTATAATTCTGACAGGTTTACAAGTCAGGGTCCTTTGGACGGTCATTGGATATCTCCAAATTCAGCAGCTATCATGAGCTGCGTCGTGAGCTTGCTCAGATGTTTGGCCTTGAAGGCCAGTTGGAGGACCCTCAGAGATCAGGCTGGCAGCTTACATTTGTTGACCGAGAGAATGATGTCCTTCTCCTTGGTGATGACCCTTGGCAGTAAGTCTAGAAACAATTTCTTGCACTCTCTTATTTCCAAGTTAATTGTCAACTCCCAGGTCACACTTCACAGCCTAACATTATTCTGCTCTTACCCTGTTCTGACAAAATTTTCTCAATCCTCTAAGAGGCTTCTTGTTTGGTGATACTAGCTGACTGGAAGCCTGGTTTGGGTTGCACCAACATTAAATGGAGGGTGTCACAGATCAATGCTTAAAACACCTCGGCTTTGTTTCTCGCTGCTTTATACATAAGTTCACTTAGTGTTGTATCTGTTCTGCCCCTTTTGTATAAAATTTCTGATTGAAAATGGTTCATGTCATTTTGATTATTATCGGACTAAATCTCCCCCTCCCTTAGAGGTTGATGGATCTAAATATATGAGAAGTCTGATGGCCTGGAATCTGGCTCCACTTTGGAGCCAAATACTATGTGGCTTGGAATTAGAGTAAATATAGTTCGTATAATATCATCTGACTCTTGATATGATCCATTCATAGAGGCCCACAAACAGAATATGATAGTTCTAATATGTGGGAACTCTATTCGTTTGGACCGTTTGGTATACTTTTCAACTTTGGTGAGCTTAGAGTTATATAGCATTACTGTGGATGTCGGCTAGGACGGCATCATTAACACCAATGAGACATAGTCCAATTACGCACAAATATAAAGTGTTTCTACCTAATGTCATGGATCTAGTTGGTGGGATTTTGGTCCTGCGTTCTATCTTGATTAATAGTTGCTTTCATTTCCTACCAGGGAGTTTGTAAACAACGTGTGGTATATCAAGATACTATCACCGATTGAAGTGCAGCAGATGGGCAAAGGACTTGATCTTTCGAGCTCTGGCCCAATGAACGGGCTTTCCAGTAATGGCAACAGCTGTGAGCTGACAGCGTGCAGAAGTAAAAAAGATGGTATAAGGTCTGTTGGGTCACTTGACTACTGATGACTGGCTTAAAAATTGAACGGTGAGTTGTACCTTATTATCTACCATTGGCCTTATTATTAGCAATACTTTGTTTCGGTCAATGGGATTTAACGTCGGGGTTAACTCCTGCAGGAAGCTTGTATGTCAGATCGTTACTGTAAATTATAATATGATAATATTTACATATCTTCTTCCAGATATATAGATACAACTGCCAAATCTGTTGGTAGGGTGATTGATATTAAGAGTTAGGTGCTGGTTTAGCATCTTGTGATTTACTAAGATGGACATTTTTAAAAGAAATTGAACAGGATCTTTGGACCATGAGCCAGTGGGTCAGATTTTGAGGTTTATGCTAACATTTTCAGGTTTGGTCGTCTGAAGAATGTTGAACAAAATTTTTGAAGCTTGCGTAACTTGAAAACAACTTGAATTTTTCTTAAGTATGCATCTGGAAGTCATACATCACACTGTAAATTTGTATGCGTGCATATGCGAATGTGTATTTGAGTAAACAGTGTGTATGCATATACATGCACAGTGTGTGTGTGAGTATTATACACAGGATTTATACGTGTGTGTATATATAAGTGTCTATACGTCTACACATATTTTCATACCCTTTCATTCCAGGATTTGCTTGCTTGCATTCTGTAGATAGGGCCTTAGCGCCCCTTCATTAAAAACTCAAGGAAAATATGACTATCTAACGGTAGCTTGTTTGTACGTATGCCTATTTGGCAACCCCACGATACTTTACTTGATATATATCTGTTTAGAATCGTACATAATGCATTTTATAAAAGTGGGCAAAATGATTTCAAATTTTCAACTCTAAAAGATTTTAGACAAAAATACGTTTTAGTGTGAAATGTTTTTACATCAAAACAAACACAGCATTACTTCAAATTAATTTCTTGATAAAAAGAAAAAAAAGAAAAAAAAAAAATGATAGTGACAGTGTGTTTGGTTGGTTAAAAATGAGAGAAAGGAAAGAATAGGGAGGGATATCGTTCTTCAATTTTCTATCATTTTACCATTTCCAAAAAAACTTGAGTTAGATCGCTTTTTCATTTCCATTCAAGCATTCTTATGTGTTTTCACGCCCCTTTGAGACTCCCAAAAATGGACAAATTCCTTTTCTTAGGAACACATACAAGATTGTCACTACAAAAAGGATAATGGTAACCCCAACATTAATTACCTCATTTATGAATTTCATAGAGAAGATAGGGGGAGAAAGTATAGTGTTTAAATAGTATTCTCATAATCTCAAAACTGTCCTCAACAATTAAAAGGAGAAAATTATTATTCCACCCATATTCCATCTATTTTAAAGGACATAATAATAATTTGTGTGTTATTCTTTTCTTCTTCTTTTTTTTTTTTTTTTTGTAAGTCATATCCAAACAAGAATAGTATCATTTTTTTTCTCTTCTCTTTTATCTATTCAAACATAAATAGATATTATTACTATCATTTGTTTTATTTTTATTTTTTTATATATTTTTCATAACTAATACTATAATTTCTTTCATTTTTTCTCTAATGTATCCAAACAAAACCGACAACTAAGGTTCTGAAGAATAAAGAGTGTGTGCACGTAGTTCTCAAGAATAAAAACTGTGTGCGCAAGCGTGCGCATAGAGAAAATGCTAAGAAAAAGTAGTTGATTCAATCCAATGGTTCAGCATGTTACTGCAAAAGCATGCTTCCTTGTTTGCCACAGGACTTGATCAAAGTGACCAATTAAGGTTCTAAATCTCTAATTGGTTTAAGATTTTTTTTTTTTTTTTTTCAAACCTGTGAATCTCAAACCAATTATTATTATTATTATTATTGTTATTAATTTTTGGATTAAGTATTCATACAAACTTTTGTTTACGCCGAGATTTGAATAACTCTCTCTCTTTGAAGATGGAGAGTTTATAAATTTTTTGATATTATAACAAGAAAAATTTCTCGAATCTTTTCTTTTTTCAACAAATGAAGACCACGATCAAATCAAAAATATTTATGACCTAGTTAGTAGAGCTAGAAAATTCGAATTCTAAAGTGAAATTTCTATTGTCCATGAACAGGCATCCAAGGCTTATAAATACAGCCTCAAGGGTGAGTGGAGGGGATCATACTTTTATTACACAGATACGTATTGAGAAATCCCTCCTCTTTGTTCTACCAACCTTTAGCCCGAAGTTTCGTTTCGCGATCCTAAGAAATCAAAAGATAAAAGCAAGTTGAGCACTAATAAAAAAAAAAAATTCAGATTACTTTGTTTGGTGTAATTTTTTCATTTCTATGCATTAAATTGGGAGTTTTATTGCTTATATTGCTCTTAGTTATGTGTATATTTATTTATCTCACGAATATTGTGGCCGTTTGACACCTTAGTTGTCACATTGGTCATTCTTTTATACAAAATCTCTACTATAATTACATGACACCTTAGTTGTTATGATAGCTATAGTCATTTTATTCATCGACTCTTTATTTTTCAAGTACTTGCTTCATGTGTAAGCCATAATGCCAAAGCATCAAGACTGTCATGAGATCATTAAAATCCGAGATATTCTCAAAGGCATGAACCTTCTTTACTCCTTACAACTCCTCTCATAGCTTCATTTGGAGTACTCATACTCGTAATCAGACTTCTTTACTCCTTACAACTCCTCTCAAGCCATATTGCTCACACGAAGAAAATTCTATTTGATACATGTACTACATGGATGACACAGCACCAAAGCCCTCCTTTTTATTTATTATTTACTATTATTATTATTATTATTATTATTATTTAAGCCAATAAAAATACTGATGCATCACTTCTCATTTGATTATTATTATTACCATTTTTCTAGTAATGTAAGCCATGTTATTGCAAGGCTGTGCTACACATCTAACATTTTTTTACACACCAAGGATATTTTATAGATATATTATTGATCCTTTTGTTGGCGGCTAACTATAGTTGAAAAACTTACTGATAATAATTTAGCAAGTCCCTCTTTGTGTAATTGTCAAGTTATGTTTTGTTCTATGGTTCTCTCTCTAATGAATGTAATAAGGATGTTGTAAAATTCTATGGAGGAAGGTTGTATCACTATCAAGAAGCCACCCTAGGAATAAAAGGGACTCCAAAATTCATAAATTTTGAGTTTAAATAATTTATAGATACCCAGATTTTTTTTTAAGGCTTACACAAGGTATTAAAGTAAAGTGTGGATTTGTTACCAATTACATTTCATCCTTTTAAATTTCTGAAACTCTAAGGCTCCGTTTGTTTTGACGTAAAATATTCCTTTTACAAAATATTTTTCTTTTTTAGGTAAAATATTTTTTTATTTTTACTTTGTCGGTGTTTGGTAAAAGTCTATATCGAGGTTGAGGTCGAATCCATCGGGCGGAATATGTAAAATAACTTATTGAAAATTGATGAAGAAGTTATTTTTGTTAAATTTTAATATTTTTTTTCTTCGTAAATATTTTACAACAACCAAATACCAGAAAATAAAAAAATATTTTCTTAAAAAAATTTTACGTCCAAACAAACGGAGCCTATATTTTAAGTACTTTGGCCTGTTTATTTATTATTATTAGTATTATTATTATCACTATTATTTTATTATTATTTTAAAAGCTAGCATTCAACCTTCATATTAACTAGGGTGTAACTCATAAAGTTGCAGTTCCAGCACTAAGACTAAGATATAGTCTGTCAAATGACCCATTAAAAATAATGTGACTTTTCTTAAAGTAACCCCTCTTTAATTCCTTATATTCTTAAAATATGAAATACTATTTTATTTTCAAATCATATTCTTTTCTAAAATAAAAATTTTCTTCAAAGCTTATACTCAAATTTATTTTTTTCAAAAAACAAACTCATCTATGCTAAGTCTTTTAAGAATTCTTAAGTTCATTTCTAAAAAAGACTTGCATGTTCTAAGTATATATATATTAGGGCCATTATTTTTCTTTGCTTAATAAAATGTGCTTATAAAAGTATTGATCTTACCTTTCGTAGATAGGGTTAAACTTTCAAAGATATATTTAATGGGGCATCTTTAGATGCTACATTTATACTTATTGTTGATGCATAAATCTACATGACCCGATCCAACATTGTTTCCTGCAACAAAGAGAGATGCTGATCTTTGTCGACACCGATGTGGTGCCTGCCAAAGGTTCTCCGACGATCCAGTCAGTAATGGAACCTATGAAATTTAAGCAGGAAATATATTATTTAATTCTTACGTACCTCTTTGGTTTGACAGAACTATGCACTTTATAGCAAGTAGACGTCATCTGTTAAGAGTTGTTAAGATCGAGGAGATTTTTTGGGAAGTTAATATATCCCTTTGAATTTGAACTTTGGTTATCACTATTTAAACCTGTTCAACCATCTTTATTCGTATCGTTAAAATACCCTAATTCAAATTATCCTTATCAGTTGCCCCCCATTCTCGAGCTTGCTTGTCAAGCGTTCGGAATGTCAACACAATTTTTCTTCTTTTTGTTGGGTCGAGTTGTTTTTAATCAGAGCTAAACATATATTATTGCTTCAATCTTGTTCCTTTATCAATGGAAGTTGTTGTACTATGCTAATCCTCTAGAAGGAGTAGTTATTCCGAGTTTTACTTAGCTCGTTTGGTTAGTAAGATAAGTAAAATTTGTCGAACTTCACTTAGCTCACCTTTAATAAGAGAAGAGTATTTTACGAGCTTCACTTAGCTCACCTCACCTTTTAATAAAGGAAGCATATTTTACGAACTTCACTCAGCTCGCCCTTTATAAGGAAAGTATATTTTACGAGTTTCACTCAGCTCGCCCTTTATAAGGAAAGTATATTTTACGAGCTTCGCTCAGCTCCCCCTTTAATAAGGGAAGTATATTTTACGAGCTTCGCTCAGCTCGCCCCTTAATAAGAGAGTAGGCTTTTTTTGAGCTTCATAGACTCACCCTTTAATAGGGAAGTAAACTTTTACTAAGCTTCATGAGTTTCTCCCTTTAATAGGAGAGGTTGATTTTACTGAGCTTCATAAACTTCTCCCTTAATAAGAGATGTTGATTTTACTAAGCTTCGTGAGTTTCGTCCTTTAATAAGGGAGATTGATTTTATCAAGCTTCGTGAGCTTCTCCCTTTAATAAGGGAGATTGATTTTACTAAGCCTAGTGAGCTTATTCCTTTAATAAAGGAGGTTGATTTTATTAAGCTTCGTAAACTCGTCCCTTTAATAAGGGAGGTTGATTTTACTAAGCTTCATGAGCTTCTTTCTTTTATAAGGGATGTTGATTTTATTAACCTTCGTAAGCTTGTACTTTTA